TCGTGGCGTTGTTGGTGACTTAGTGACAAGTCTCTCTGGGTGTGTTCGAAATACACTCTTCTGAACCAGAAGATCCAGAGTTTTCCAGCCAATAAACCATTTAAGCGATCTTTACAAAGCTTTCCAGATCAAGCAACTATTCATGGTGATCTACGGTTAGCGTTTAAACTCCTGGACTTACTGCCTCTCACTAGGTCTTACTGCCTCACGCCCCATTCCAGAAACACCATGAATCCTTACTTAATCAGAACAAAAGTTCACAAAATAATTACAAAACAGAATTGAAAGACAGATAAAAAAGGGGAAAGCATAGTTAATAGATCCAGAACATAACATCCTTATATAATAATTTTAATAGTAAAGGTAAACTTAGATCCAGCCATAAAGCCCACAATCCTGAAGGGCTAGATAAAAAAGGGGAAAGCATAGTTAATAGATCCAGAACCTGTTTATTTCAATTGTTTTCCAAACAAAACTATGAGTCTTTTAGACAGAAATGTCTTAGATTCATTATTTTTAAACATCAGATTGCATGGGCTGAACATGAAAGAAGGTTCTATCCCTGCAGCTCCCATCCCTGATGCTATTAATACCCTTATCATGGCCATTGTTAAACATTTTATCGGAGATCCTAGTATTTGGAAAGACAGATTTGGTGAGCTCCTATCCAATCTTAAGTGTAGAACGTTAGGGGATTTTAGGTGGTATAAGGACACCTTTCTCACTAGGGTCTACACCCGAGATGACAGTAACCAACCATTCCGGAAAGAAAAGTTCCTAGCTAGACTCCCATATATATATATATATATATATGTATATAGGGGATAAATCAAATGACATGCATGTAACAATCTCACAACAATTTATTTACATAACACACTACAAGAAAATTATCATTGAGTGACACGTACCCTATATATAGTGATACAAAAATTGTCACTAAAAACTACTTTTACCTATATAAAAAAATATAATATATGTTGATATATTATTAAAAAAGTGTGGGTATAGGCTATAGTAATATACATTATGTTGTTAAATCTCATTCAAAATCAATACTAAAATTATGTGTAACTATATATCAAATAGATATATACCTATAGGACACTTTTTTGTATGTTGTATGTAATATTTCTTATATTAGTAGTTATGATTACATGTTTAGTAATGTATAAGTGAGCCTGACATCACATCATAACTTAAAATCTTAAGGCATTAGATTGGTAGGTCTTTCTCACTTATATATTATTTAATATACCTAATTCTAACCGACAAGGAACTCACTTCACACTTGAAGTCCAATCCCTCAAGCGTGAATTGAGTCCCACATGCATAAAAATTGGACATGTTGAGTAATATACAAGTGACTTTAACACCATATCATAATCCAAAATAAGCATTAGGTTGATAGATCTTTCTCACTTATATAGTACTCAATATACCCAATCATAATCGATGTGAGATTTACTTCACACTTGAAATCCAACACATCCTTAATATTGTGATTGTTGCTAACTTGACGAGTTTTTGCACATAGCCGTGATCAAACACTAACTTCTTGCTAAATAACCATTGCCTCCATGTATGAGCACATAATGTCTAACTATTATGTCAACATGTTAGATTATTACATTAGTTTACCCATCAAAATGTAGTTCTTACATAAAAAAGATTTAAAGTTACTGTTTAATGAAACTAAATTGATTTTATTTGATAATAAATATTTCCTTCATCCCATAATAAGTATTATGTTTGAAGAAAAATTAAGTCTTAAAATAAGTGTCATGTTAGCTTTTTAATATAATATTAATTTCCTTTTTTTTCATTTTTTTTGTAATATATTCTTTTAAAATGGTTATTGTATTGTATTGTTTCTAGTAAATAAGGTTAATCATATGATTATTGTATAGTGTTGTTTCTAATGAAGAAAGTTAATCATATATTAATTATATTAGTTTCTCTTAATTTATGTAAAATAATATAGAACAACACTTATTATGAGACGAAGAGTAATTATTATTTGAGCGCTAAATTGATATCACAAATTTACCTAGACTTACTTTGTTCAATAACTTATGTTTTACATCAAATTTTACCGATCGTTGAATTTAAAGTTCTTAATGGATAGATCAAGTCTGTAAATTTTTAAAAAATTTGAAAATCATTTGATACTTTGTTTCATTAATGTAAATCAATGTATAAAATGATTTTATGATTATCCGTCATTTTGAATTGATGAAATGAAGTATCAAATAATTTTCAAATATTTTAAAAATTTACAAATTCGATCTTTGCATTAAAAACTTTAATTTCAACGATTGGATCGTTAAAATTTGATGTAGAACATGAATTATTGAACGAAATAAGTCTAGGTAAACTTACTCCTAGAGTAAACAGAGATTCCTCCTCTCTCTTTGTCTCTCTGTCTCTCTCTCTCTCTCTCTCTCTCTCTCTATATATATATATACATACATACACATATTATGGGGATAAATCTCTTTACTCTACTCAATAACTCATATTCCACATCAAATTTTAACGTTTCAATTGTTGAATTAAAAATTCTTATTAATACATAAATTAAGTCTGCAAAATTTTTAAAAATTTAAAAATTATTTTGTACTTATTTTATTAATTTAAATCAACATATAAAATATTTTTACGATTATTCATTGATTTAAATTAATGAAATGAAGTAGTAAAAAGTTTTCAAAATTTTAAAACTTTACAAATTTGATCTATTTGTTAAGAATTTTTAATTCAAAGGTTAAACCATTGAAATTTGTTGTAGAATAAGAGTTATTGAGTAGAGTAAGTGGATCCCTCCTCTCTCTTTCTCTATATATATGTGTGTATATATACTAGTGGAATTGAGACATTTCTTGTCTCTATTAAAAATAAAATAAAAATGAAATTAAATAATAAAAGTATGTTAGTTTAATTAGTATTGTGATTGATCTTAAAAGTTTAAGATTTTGAGTTCAAGTCTTAAATTTTATAAATATATTATCTTTTTATATATATTTTTTAAATAATAAAAGGATGGAGATAAAGATAATTATTAAAAAAGTTATTTTTTTATATATTAATATAGATAGTATAGATATTGAAGATTCATGGTAAATTGGTAATATTTGGCTTCGATCATTTATTAATCGGAAGACAACGAATACTTCATTTGTATTGAAGATTCATGGTAAATTGGTAATATTCGGCTTCGATCGATCATTTATTAATCGGAAGACAACGAATACTTTCCTTCATTTATACCAATTTATTAATGAAATTTGATCCTAGGAGCAAGTTAGATAACGACATGATATCAATCTAAAACCATCCCTTTTAATGTTGTTTTTGTACAACATATATCTCTTCAGATTTTTAACTTCTATATGGTGAAGAAATGCATTCAATAAAAAAGAAATTTAATGCATTTTTTAATTAAAACACTTCATTAGTTTAACTCACTTTAAATTAAAATAGATATATCTTTAGCTCTCTTTTGTACATACTTTCTTATTTTAGAAAAATCAAATTCAACGCCCTCCCAATGTGCTATATTAACATATATTAAGAAGGCTTTAGAACAAAGTCATTTAAAAATGATCGATGTGATGTACTTCAGCCATATACACTCCTTTTAAGTTTTAAAACCCTAGTTGGTGTTTCAAAATTCTAATATTTTAACTTGGTTACGATTGGATATAGATGCGTACGATTAGAGAATGCTTACTTAACTGGAATAGCTTGCTTACCAGAGGTACATGTCTAGTTTTTTAATTTAGAAATGATATTTGTTCATAAGAACTTTCAAATCTTTCTTATATTATTCTTTAGATAATAAAATAAGGAAACACCTAAAAAAAAATACATTACTGCACTCTGTTACTTTTTTTTGGATTATTATATTTTCCTCGTACATTCAGCTTCTCTTCCATCTTATTTTAACCTATATTTTTTTCTTCCAATTTTCTCTTCATTAATTTCTTATCATATTATTTGCTGCACTCATCAGTTTTTTCCTTTCTTCTTTTAATTATTTATTTTTTCTTTTATCTCTTTTCCTTTCCCCCATACACCCCCAAAACATTGTAATATTTTATAAATTTGGGTGTATGTTTCTTAGAATAGTGGATTTGTGGAACTTGAATTTTTTTTCAATACACTCTCTCACGTCTAGTACTATTGGGCTGGGTTTGGTACGTGAATAAATAGTGAGTAACATTTTTTAATAATTTAGGATAAATTTGATACCATTTCTAATGGATTTGAATCTAACTCAACTTACAAAACTAGCTTGTAAGGTGAGAATTAATTACTTTTCACTTATATTATTATCTAATCTCTAGTCGATGTGAGACTTGAGTTTTTTCTTAATAATATTTAACTTTTTCCTATTTCTTTTGCCCTCTAATAAGTAGAGTGTAAAAATAACGTAATATTATCCCTAATAATCATTATTAATTCTAGCAAGAAAAGCAATATAAAAATACATATGTACCAAATATTTGTCGTTCCTCCTTCTTTAGCTTGCTAAGTAATTAATCCAAATCTTATCCATTGTTTTCTTTCAAGAATTTTAAATGGAAAGATGTGTGACCCAGAAAAGTTCAATGAAGATTAGAGATTTCTAATGTGCAATAATATTAAAAATTGTTGGGGATCTCACTATTTTGTTTTCTTTTCATCAGAGGAGAGATTTTGAGTAGAAATGAATTCGAATTAATGTTGTGAATCCTTTAAATCTTAATTAATTAGAGGAAAGTCTAGCTAGTATATGTGCTGGTGTCGTTCAATGCCTGAGCAGGCTCCGATGCTCAAGATAACACAAAACAGTACAATTTCACTCATTAGTATTCTTCTTCCTCAGAAAATTGAATCAAATTAATGTTAATGATATTAACATTGTTATTAGACTAAAATATATCTTTACTCCAATTTCTTTTCTTAATCACATATTTTCTATTTACAAGACTTGAATAATTCGAGATATTATTTAAGAGAATCGAATTTTGCAACTTTTGATTTTTCTATCTCACAAAATTGAAATAAGTATAAGCATGGGAGAGATCAAACTTTGGAGAAGAAGATGGAAATGAAACTAATAAGTCAGTCATTCTTTATGTCATCATAAGAAACCCAAAACATTTCATTATCAAACACAAAGCTATATATGAACCAGCAAATTGAAGAAAGATATCTCTCTATATATATGATATGATCTAATTAACACATAATAATATCTATCCTATAAAAGTTGAGGTTCCTCAAACCCTTGCATGATCATGTGATTTCCATCCATAGGAAGCAGTGGAAAGCCACCAATCTCAGAAATAAACCCTTCCAAATCAGAGAACCCCCCCAAGTAGCCACCAGAACTTTCATCACTGCTACAAACCCCAACAACCTCTTCTTTGACTTTGTGATCCCTTGTCATCATCACATCCAACCCCCAAAAGTTATTATTATTACTACTTTTGATTGTCTTCATCACTGTGTGATCCTCTGACATGCCACTCCCACTAGTGCTGCTTGAATATTTCTCCTTCTTCTTGTTCTTCTTCTTATTGCAACACCTTTCTCCACTTGGTTTCCCAGTTAGCTTCTGCACAAGTTCTCTGAAATTCTCCACGTCGGTCTTTATGATCTCGGGTGCGAATATGTGGATTATGCGAATCTTGGGTTTGGCCTTGGCCACCATGTGGGAATCTTTGTGCATGGCTAGGGAAGGTGTGTGTGATTTGGCTATGCATGATGATGAGTGGTGTGTGTGTTGCTTCCTTAGCCTCATCATGTTTTCCATGTCAAATCAAAACAAGAGGCACATAGATACTAGAGAAATTGGAAGTGGGGTTTGGTTAATAATTTGTGTGATTGTTAAAATGAAAGAAGAAAGAGAATCACATATTTATAGGGGATTTGAAAGGACAGAGAAAACAAATGAAAAAGGGAACAAAACAATAATATGAAGGTGTCTGTTGGGAGCAAGGATTAGATGAATCCTGGTCTGACAAATGCATAGAGAGAGTCAATAAAGTAATCGGAACTCAATGGTAATGGTCCCCTTATCTCCCACTTTTCATTATTATACAATCATGACTATGTATATGTTTTTTTTTTTTTTTTTTTATTAAAAAATATCTTCTTTAAAAATTAATCTTCATTCAAAATTTGACATATACAGAATAGATAGACATTCTATTTTAGTTTGAGTTTTTTTAAATATATTTAAAAGTTATGATTTGAAATTCAACTACTTGATTAACTACTTAATTAAGTAGCTAGAATATGATTCCTATCGATTTAAATTAATTTAAATTGAATGAATGACTTTATTTTATTTGTTTATGTATATCGTACCTTGAGGGAGGGAGAATGGATGTGGACACATTTTTTCCTAATCAATTGCCTTCCCTGAAATGACCATAGCATTCCGCGTAGATGCAAATGTTACTCTTGAATTAAAGAAAATTAAATTACTTGTACTATCAATCATAATTATTATTTTTTTAATGATTATCAACTCGATGAAGATACTAATTTAATTCTAAGATGGAAAATAGATAAAAATAGTGGGTCAAGAATGAATATAGGAAAAGACAAATTGATTTTTCTCTCCATAATCTGTCGGATAACTAGCTGTATTATTGAGGGAGGAAAGGGTTATAAATTATTACATGTTTTGAGGCTAAAGTTCTGGAGATGTACTTAATTTTCCAGTTTTACCGTGGAAATGGAAATGATATAAAAATAATGTAATTAATAAAAAATGTGTAAATTAATATCCCTATTATTACTGTGAGTTGTATATCTTAGCAATAGCTAAAATTGTATAAAAAAATAAATAAATTAAAAGACTATCTAAAATCCAGCTGCCACCATGAGAGTCTAATGAAAACCATTCATTATTATATAATTAATTTAAAAAATTAATAGATTAGATTAGTTAAATATTTAACATAATATTCAGATATTAATAAATTTATATAAATAATTTAGTCTTTTTTACAACATATAGTGTGATTAATTAACCAGTGGGATTAAGTTATCATTACTGTAGCGTGAGACTAATTAATTTATCAAGTAAATATTCATCCTTAGTAAGCCATATTATATATATATAAATCATAATTATATATATATATATATATAATAAGGTACATAGGCTTCATTGTTAAATTGTTCTTTCATCTTGAAATCCAGCCACCAACACCCGCCAGTGTCATTGGGTGGAATCAATCCTTCAAAGTACTTGCAGAATTATATGTTAAGGGTATGATCTCAATATATACTATATATGCCAATTCAATAGCCCCTTCCACCATAAAATAGCTAAAATGCTTCAAGTCAATAACTTGTTTTAAAGGGCATTGTACAATATTATGCAATAGGAGGAGAAAATAATTTGTTTTTCACATACAGATACACAACAGTAACCCTCTAAATTAAGTAAAATCTTCTTATTTTTAGCTGATGATTTGCCTCACAGAAGCCTGATATTTCTTGTATATTTTAATTAAGTTGTTTAGAGTTTGAATTTTGATTTTGAATATAAAATAAATTATGCTGAGAATAAAATACTCATCTTAATACATTCACAATTTTTTATAGAAATTAGTATTATTTTTTAAAATAGATATTTTATATTAATGTCATAATTAAAAAAATAAAATAAAAAATAAACATGTGAGATCCATATATATAACAAGTTATATACTTTTTTATCTAATAAAAGAAAGTGTAATTTCTTTTCACTTAATTGATTCTCATAGAAATAAAATAATACTTACAATTACCATTTCATTCTCAAATTGAGAATCGAACCCTCATCTTAATTAAAAAACACATATATCAAACTATTTTTCGTAACAACTTTATATAGTTATATTTATATACCCTTTTATACTTGACAAAAGTGGCATATAATCTTTAATTGACATACAAAATTATACAACCCCGAGTTGAAGAAATTATATATGCAAATCGTTTTGAACAATATATATATGGTACAGCTAGTACGTGAAATTTCGTTTGAAATTGGGGTTAGGTATATTGTTACACGAAATCTGTGTGGTTGGAATATTGAACCCCACTTGTCAATACTTGCACAAATTAACAACAGCTCAGATATACGTAATCCCCATCACAGAAGAGCAAAATATGCAGCCTTTTACCACTTCTCTTTCAATCTCTTCCTCCTGCAAATTATATCTTTTCCTTCTTTAATTTTATTCTATGCTTACATACTTAACATTGCACGTTCCCCTTTTTGCTTTCACTCTCTTCGCGTGCAAACCAAAATATAAAATCACATCCTTATTAGAGAAAATAAAATGCAAATTTAGTTTTTAGTGACTATTTTTCCCCCTATTATAATTAACAAGTTTGTGATTCCTACCCTCTACTTCACAACCTTAATTCTTCATTATTGTAATGGTTGAGAAATTTATAAATAAAAATTTAATTAAAAATAAGAAAATTGTATAAATGATATATATATATATATATATATATATATATTACATAAAAAGAATTTATTTTTAATTCTTTAACCTTAATTGCAACAATTATAATAATAATAACACATTAATTAATAAACTGTTATTAAAATGTAGATTATAAACCTAATTCAATTCTATAAAATTAATTTGTAAAATAAATATTATTCTTTACTTATATATTCTTTAATTATCTAATCTTTGTTTATTATGTAATTGAATTTTAAAAAAAAATTGTTATTGTGAGGGTAAACTTGTTTGAGTTGTATTAAGGATTATAATTTCCTTTTGTATTTAAATATTAGGGGTCCGTTAAGGCTTCCTATATATGTATAACCACTTTTGAGTATATATATAATGAAGAGAATATTTTTGCCAATTAATACAGCTGTTTTATGAATAAAGAAGGGACATGTTTGTGAGTGTCCACTAGAATAGGGCCAAAACTCCGGCTGAAATGAATAATAAAAAAGAGCATATATTGTACTTGAAGCTTGTGATCGAGATTATGGTTGTATAAACACTTCCAAAAGTTCAATCACATGACAGAGCCACATAGAGGCAGCAAAACTATTTTCTGGGTGTTCCTTCAAATTCATTAATTTAAGACAAATGGAAACAATTGAACAACTTAGATCTTGATCTTTATCAATGAACTAATGACTAAGACACCATGTAAGAGACACAAATGACAGATCAAGATTTAGCGCGTTAAAATAAATAAATAACTTAGTGCATCCATTTAATGACTTTACTACGTATAGTTTTAACACTATGTTTGCAAATCTATCATATCGACATATAAGACTGTCTGTCATAATATATACAAGATTTTATGCTTAAATTTTATTATTGTTGTTATAAAAGAGTTTATAATAATAAATTATTTAACTAATTTGATGAGTCTAATTGTTAAATACTTGCATTCCAATGTTAAAAATTGGATCAGAGCTGGTAATCATAATACTGTAAATATAATAAATAAAAAAAATTTCAATAATGAAGAATTAAGGATGTGAAGTAGAGGGTAGGAATCATAAACTTGTTAACCAAAACTAGCTTCAACATAGATTGATGTGTTAGAAATTTTATTTCTACTGATATGGGCCCAAATAAGTGGAAACCAGATTTGGCCCGTTAGGGGTTAATGGGAACCCTAATAGGTTTAAAATCATAAAGATGGTCATGGTCCCCAATATGTCAAATCAGAAATACACGTCTCTCTGTCTCCCCATCAGAAGAGTAACATCAAGTCCCATCAAGGAATCCAATGATTTGGCTGAGGAAGATCATTGCACCAAAAGACTATTCCGCTGTAACCTTTTGATCACCATCAATGGATACAGGTACGTGTTATTATCATTAACTCTGTAATCTGAGACAACGGTTCTTAATTTTTGATTAATGAAAAATTTCTATTTAGCTTAAGAAATTTTATCCCAACAAGTGGTATCAGAGTCGCCGTTGTTATTAGGTTATGGGGTTCTAAAGCGTATTGTTACAATTTTTTTTTCTCTTCATTGATAATACGTGTATTTGAATGCGTTGGTCATTTTTTCTCTCTTCAATTTGGTTTAATTGATTATACGGATAAAGAGATCGATTAAAAATTGAATTTTTATTAAAGAGAATTTTTGTGAAATTGTATAATTTTCTGTGAATGTTATAGATTTGTATATGTAACAATTTTGCAATGATCCTGAAGACATTGTCAAATGTAGAAATTTTTTGAATTTTTTTTAATTTTCTCACCGGAAGTGAGATAATTGTGCAACAATGCAGTAAAAGAATATTTTCTCACCAGAAGTGAGTTAATTGTGCAACAATGCAATAAAGGAATATTTTCTCACCAGAGTTAATTGTGCAACAATGCAATAAAGAAATATTCTCTCACCAGAAGTGAGTTAATTGTGCGACAATGCAATAAAGAAATATTTTCTCACCAGAAGTGAGTTAATTGTGCAACAATGAAATAAAAGAATATTTTTCTCACCGGAAGTGGGAAAATAATATTATGGTTGATCCTTTGAGTACCACCAGAAGTGGGATTTTTTTTTTGTTTTTGTCAAAATCATTGTTGTTATATTAAATGATATTTGGGGAAAATTATATGATTAATATATTGAATTCCACATTATCGAATTTTAATGGCATTCGCGTAAGAATTATTTTCTTGAAATTTGATTGATATTATGTTCAAATTTAAATTGATATTTTTTTTATATCAAATTTGAGTGCGAATGTTGGCAGATTATAGACCCTCTTTATTAATTAATTTGTCTGGTAATTTTTAATTAAATAAATTGATGTAATATATTGTCAAAGCAATCCCTATTATAGAAATTAATTTGATTAAAAATTACAATAGATGTTAGTATGAGATTATTTATGCGATTTGTGCTTATCCCAAAGGAAGACATAATTTGGCCAAATAATAACATGCCTGTGATGATAAATATGTGACAATTATAAAGTTACAATCATGTGAATAATAGTCGGTCCAAAGAAAGGCT